GCTACAGATGCAGCAGCAACGTGCCTACTCGAGGTCGATGACGTCCCTACCGCCTGAGCCGTTCATGATCATGAGATCCAAAGCTCTCAATCGACGCGTCTCCATTAATGTCGGTGGCGTCAAGCACGAGGTACTCTGGCGCACCCTCGAGAGATTACCCCACACGCGTCTAGGTCGATTGAAAGATTGCAACACGCACGAAGCGATCACGGAACTATGCGACGATTATTCCCTGATCGACAACGAATACTTCTTCGATCGACACCCGAAATCCTTCAGCTCCATACTGAACTTCTACCGTACCGGGAAGCTGCACCTCGTCGACGAGATGTGCGTGCTGGCGTTCAGTGACGATCTCGAGTATTGGGGCGTCGACGAGCTCTACCTGGAGAGCTGTTGCCAGCACAAGTACCATCAGAGGAAGGAACACGTGCACGAGGAGATGCGCAAGGAGGCGGAATCCTTGAGGCAGAGGGAGGAAGAGGAGTTCGGCGAAGGACAGTGCGCGCAATATCAGAAGTGGCTTTGGGATTTGTTGGAGAAACCGACCACGTCCATCGCTGCAAGGGTGAGTTGTTTATTTGTTTACGGTTGTTGGGACGGTGGGACACGTGTCGCGTTGTAACAGGCATGATCAAGGATCCCGTTATGCTACCTGTTAGCAACCAGTTTATAGCATTGAACTACGGAATTAGACAACTCAATACCTCAGATGTATCGTGAGGTTTTACATAGGCTGAATTTAAGTAGAGCTGACTCTCGTTATATTGCCACCTTCAGACATTTCAAACTTTAACAATTTGTCAATCTCTAAATTTATGAGATGCCTACATGAGATGATAACATGAAGCACCTACTTAAGATACCAACATGAGGCGCCTGCATGTAAGACATCTAGAGGTTCTTACTTAAGGCATGTGTGTCAGGTATCTACAAAGTACCTACTTCATGTACCTAGAAACGAACGTTTGCGCTTTTGGTGGTAATTTCTTGGTGTCAGCAAACTCACTGATGTAAATATAGTAGAGTTGATCCCCTAGGTCAATAGAACACAATAATAGCCGAATGTGGTTCGCGGGCTATAGTATCGCTTGGTCATGCCTGTAGAAATAGGGGAAATCAGATGCGCGCATCAATTTAAAGGAAAACTTCCGCGGAACAGTGACGGAGAAAAATTGGAAAGTTATTCCGAACGTCGGATTCTGGGAGGGAAGAACTTGAATCTAAGCCAAACGATACGCGATGTTGTGACAATAATAATGTGTCATTTGGCATTGGCGAACTTTTGACTCCCGGGGTCGCGATTGTTACTCTATTGTTGCTTGTTGAGACCTACTTTTCAAAGAATGCTCATTGTTCTTAACATTAGAACTACTTTTAATTCGAATTAACGATGACAAATAAATGTGTCGAATAATTTTATTTTATGCTTTTACATTCTTATGAATGATGTTGTTTTCGAATAAATATAGAAAGATGTTGGTCATATGTGAATATGTTGGAGACATTTTTGTGATAGCGAGTCAAATATAATTTCATGACATAAAAGTATCGGAAAATGGCACTTGTGATATATCAAATTAAAGCTTGAAGCTTAAGGAAAATGACTGTAAGTAGATTTCGTAAATATTTTTCACCCAAAATGGCGGAATAATTGATGTATACAAATGAAGACTAGGACTTGATTGATGCAAGTTCGTCCACTGATTCTTTTAAGAAAAAACAATAAAGTCATTAAAAAATATATTGTATGAACATTTTTGGTTAGTGTTAACACTCCTAAAAGCGTTCTACTGTTAATATTAAACTAAACAAGTCAATTTTTCTCCGTGTTCCAATTCGTATCAACCAGTGTCTGACAAGTTTCCCTCGACACTACTTAAATTTTATCGATAACTATTCGTCACTGTGCATCAAAAGAAAAAGACATTCTCTCGAATGTCCACAAAGCCAGTCGAGCAGCTAAGAGAAACCTCGTGATATTTAATAATTAAGCTCAAACGCTTTTTTATAAATGTTTCGTTCTACTAATCTACTTACACTGTCTCCACGTTTACAGTTTTTACTGGAGCCTTAAAATTTCACGAAAGGTACTATTAAGTTGATAGAGTAGAGCATCGATTCGATTGTAGCTCTCATATTAGACGAAACAGTAGTTGAGAACGTTTTCGACCTGTGTGATTTACCACCTAATCTCGTTGTAGATCGATAATCGACATAGTTTGACTCGATCGAGTTTAAATAATTTCCCGTCGATCCTCTCGATAACAAATTGTATAGAGTAAACAATAACAAGGCAGAGCTTGCAGATTTGTTACTAAACAAGCAACAAGTAATCGTTTAATAGAAAATATAGATTCATGCATGTATCGTTTCTTTATCGGCGATCTGTTTGTATATACACGGTATAGTTGTATATATTTCATGGATAAAAAAAGAACGCGTTTCAAATATAATTAGATAATCGATTTTGCTCTTCTCTGTCAAGATCAGATCATCACCGTTCGTTGACCGGAGGATAGTTCTTTAATATTCATTGAGATTGGAATTCAGATAAACTCTTTCTTTCTTTCTCTCTCATGCATTTGTTTGATCTATCAACGTTTTACTCGTTGCCGTCAGGTGTAAGTATGTATATGTGTATATATGCGTAGGCGTTATATTTGTATATACACATATATTTACGGTCTGTTTAAAATAAACCTGCACTGTTATTTTAATCGAAATCAAAAGAAGGTGCTATAATTAAACGTCTGTGTTGAGCCGTGGCTAACTATTAGGCTAACTATTCGTCAGGTAATTTTTATACCCGAAATACTTCTTCATAAAAATTAATTTTCAACGATAAATCCTGTAAGTCTTCTCTCGTCAAGTTTATATTGAGCAGATCGTACATGTACATAAAAGAACGTAGACATACGATGAGTAGATTAACCGTATTAATAAATAGAAATTGTTAATTATTCTCCGAATAGAAGACATCGAATTCATTTTGTTGAATCACATTCTGTGTCGATGTATGTAATGTATGTTTTATTTCTAGGTGGTGTTAACAACATGATTACTAATCTCGTTGTTCTGTAATCCAGCTTTCTAGCTTATCACTATCGAATTTTCTTTCCGTTTTCTTTCTTTTAATAAAAAAAAAGAATCATTATGCTTGGCCTTCGAATGATAATGGGAGTGCATAATACGCGATTACCAGGTATCACGTAGATTCTTTCTCGACACCGCTCCCTCTGAGACGTCACGGTAACTTCGCTACCAGCGAATTCAATTCAATCTTGACCCATTAGTCTATGTAATTAACTGCAATTAATCGTTTAACGTACGTAATTAGATCGACATTAAACACGAAGAATCCGACGTTGCTCGAAAAGAGATACACGTTTATTTCTGAACAAATGTAGAACAGTTATTATGGTAAGAATGTAGTTTATTGTTCAGAGATGTTTTTATCGTTCGAAAACGATAAAATATTGCAAGTAAATTTATGGTATTATATACTTGAAGTTGTGATCCCTTTTCGAATGGCGTCGAATTCGAAATAAATACAAAAAGAAAATTCCCAAGATAGATGACGAATGTTGTCCTCTTGCTAGAATATACTTGCCATACACACCACAAACAATACACATTGCACACACTGTTGCTTCGAAATGGAACAATGTTATGCGGGGTAATTAATTAGCACCTGTATCCCTCACTTTATCCATCAATTATCATCATTTACACTAAACTAGATACCAAATATCCTGAACCTAACTTTTTTGTAATCATTGTCCCTGAATCATCTGTGCTTGTGGATTTTCATTGATTTTTTATCTGGCCCGAATCGAGCTAGGTGAATTTTTACCTACATGTAACGCTTTTAACAAACATCTAGTATGAAAACAAAGAAATTTATCAAAGGTTCTTCCTCTGATAAACTCTTCATTGTACGTTCGAACGTTTCTCCTCAATGCGTCAATATTACAGAAACTATTGATTTTCTACTATATTTAAACTACCTAAGGGGCCGTCGGTCAATAACTGTGTGGCTGCTTCGGAAAGTATAGTCATCGACGATAACATCTGTGTCTTCAACATTGGGTCTTTTCACCATACTCTCATCACGCATGTCATCGATATAATATAGTGTCATTTCCGTATTTATTCCATTTTTCGATTCGTAACAATGTTGATATTATGATGAGTATTAATATGTCACGTGTGAACGTTGTTGCACATCCAGTGGTGGATGTCGAAATTTGGTCTGATGATTTGTGAATTTGGGGAATTAGGAAATTTGGAATTTGAGAATTTGGGGGTTGGGGAATTGGGGGATGTGGGAATTGGGGGATGTGGGAATTGCGGGATGTGGCAATTGGGGAATGTGAAATTAGGGAACGTGGAAATTGGTGGATGTGGGAATTGGAACATGTGGGAATTGGGGGACATGGGAATTGGGGAATGTGGAAATTGAGCGATGTGGGAATTGGGGAATGTGAGAATTGGGGGATGTGAGAATTGGGACATGTGGGAATTGGGGGATGTGGGAATTAGGGAACGTGGAAATTGGGGGACGTGGAAATTGGGGGATGTGGAAATTGGGGGATGTGGGAATTGGGGAATGTGGAATTGAAGAATGTGGAATTGGGGTGAGTGAAATCGGGGAATATGGAATTGGGGAATGTGGGAATTGGGGAATATGGAATTGGGGAATATGGGAATTGGTGAATGTGGAATTGGGGAATGTAGGAATTGGTGAATATAGAATTGGGGAATGTGGGAATTGATGAATGTAGAAATTTGGTAATGCGGGAATGTAGGAATCATAAATAAATTTTTCCAAATTCACCATCACACGTGCAACAACCCAAAAATCAACAAAAACACCAACCCAATACGGAGATTTCACTATATTCACATCTTTGCGAATTTTTATTAAATCCCTTAAATTAAAATCAATTTTAATCTAAAGAATAATAAAAAATTCGCAAAGACTCGATACGGTAACCATTAAGAAAAGGAACGTACTAGTTAACGCGTAAAGTCGAAGGTCATTTTCTGCATGCAAAGAAGATAACATCGGATAACGATCCAACCCTATAATTACTAGGTAATTATTTAATTAGGCTGAGTTAACAATTCAGAAATCTGCTATACGCTCTTGCAATTAATTAAATTAACTTTCATTCGATTAACTGTTAATACTTGTAAAAATGTATTGTCACTCGTATCCTTTTTTTTCAAAAGAAATGTAAATTCATCTGCGGTGAACAACGCTGATTGTTCATTCGATGAAATGAATAGCGTTAAAAAATTATTTGCAACGAGTTGTCGTAGTTTGTCGCTTTATATTTGCAGCTTGAAATTTTGTTGCGATACGGGACTTAAACAAAGAATAATCGTATCGATGATTTTTCACTTGCGTTTGCTTTGTTTATAGAAAATGATGCGCGCTTTAATGTGTTAACCAGTATGAATTAATTAAAACGTGAAATTGAAAGATCAATTGAAATACTTGTTAAGTTTTTAAATAAATCCGTTCAGCACATTTTATTATTATTTAAAAAAAAATACAGTATTGATTTTAAAAATTTTTATTAGAATTGTGTTAAATTTTTAATATTTGTAGAAGGAGAAATATGAACTTTTAAATAAAACTAATCAACTATTATTATTTTTAATAATAATTTTGTATACAATAATTTTCACAATTTAAGTAATTTGTGATTCTAAATGAAAGATAAGTATAATTTTGATCTTTTGTGTTTTGATCAATGAAGCACTCGTTGTCGAAAGTTTCGCGGTTAAATCAAGAATGAAAGTATCATTAATAAAAAGTGCTGAACACGGAATATGGTTATCCTGTGCAACAGGTATTATCCGACAAGTTTGCTGCAACGCAAGCTTGATCAATTACTTTTTTTGCATTAACGAGCAAACACTCGGTGTTTCACAAAGGACCCAAATTAACATTCGTATATTTGATGTGAAAAAACCCCGTAGTTCTTTTTGCATGCCGAACTGTGAATTTTTATCAACCACTTTGTTGACTTTCGTTTCGTTTTCTTTTTCTTCTTCACCTTTTTGCTTTTGGAATTGCTACCAAAGTTACACTCGGAAGGTTTTCGATTTTAATCACTGTCATAAATTATATCAAATTAGATACATTATTAAATTGGTACAAATTATCAATTTTTTAGTCAGTTGAAATTTGTTGGATTTGTTATATTTTTCTGTGGAGTCTCGTTATATTGCCGCGGGTGAATTACTTGAGGGATATTTGAGGATTTTCAAATTTTTAAACTTGCAATTTTTAGGATTTTTGAATCTGGAAATTTTTTAGTTTGTAAATGTTGAAATTTTCAAATTTTTAGTTTGTCAATTTTTCAAGTTTTCGAGCCTGGCAATTTTCAAATTTCAAAATTCTCAAATTCTTTAACTTGCAAGTTTCTGAACTTTCAAATGTGGCAGTCCACTTTCAACTTTTCAATCTTATTAATTTCCCAACTTGTTAATTTTTAAATTTCTAAAATTGAATGTATATAAAATTAAATAATTTTAGATTTCCATTGATGTATCACGATAAAGTAGATAGTACCACTAGTCCCCACAAAGATTACTCCTCAGCAACATTCCTGTTATCACATACTCCTGTACACCCCCTATTATCACGTACACCCCCTAAGCCCATCACATCACCCACCTTGCAAATATCCCTTCCGAGTGTAAAAGAATCTGTGTGTTACTTGCAGTATAACAAAATCTCTCTATATGCGAGCCTCTTTATTTTGTTTAAAAAAGAAACCTAATTTCAGCAAACTTTTCTTGATGAAGCGACGAATTGATTTCGCTTTGTAGCGATTGCACTAGCCTGATTAGATATTATTCCACAGGAAATAATGTAACGATCGGGTTGAAAAAGGGTGGATGAAAAGGGAGCGGGGTTTTGAAGGGTCCAATGAACAATAAATATGGTAAATACGCTTGCCGAACAACGTACATATTTGTATAAGTCGAGCGACGTCGGGCAGACAGCCTTCAAACGACGAGATTCTCTATGGTGAATCTACTATCTGTGTAACTATACGATTCTATGGTAGTTTTCGGCGACACTGTTCACCGCGATTCGATCGGGTGTCACAGTTTCGCAGGAAAATACTTTAGAACGTCATAGCGGTCCGCATTATATACATACATCCTGTACATTCCTTTTTTCAAATTATTTTTATTTGATTGCATTGCAACTTCAACGGTTTCCAAAGTCGTTTGGAGGTTTCATTGACAAACACTCCAACATACTTTGCGATCTTTCTCCTCAACTTTTTTAACGAATCAGTTCGAACATCCTCGAAGATTTCGTGACACAGTTGTTTTTTTAACGATACTATTCGGTATCGTTTTACGAGGAATCAAGCTTCTTTACGTACGCAAATTGTTGCTTGCTTCGTATTGTACATTTTTTCGTACACGTAAGATACTATATATTTACTTAACGCTTTTCTCAACCGATCAAGTATCTGTTCTTGAGTATACATACATATCATTTTTACACGTATTGTATTTTTTCTACGCTTTCGTAACGTGAGAGCTTTTGGTATTTATCCTTTTTTTCGTAGTGATTGTTGCTTTATAAACGCTGACGATATACGAACTTTCGAGTCGTTCGCTTGTGATCGATTTCGATTTTGCTTCGATTCGTTCTCTGATCGATCTACGTGGTTCTTCTTATCGATATAAGACTTAATCTGGTTCAATTACTAGATTAAATTTCTTTAAAAGAATTTTATTAATTCAGGATCAGGTGGAAAGTAAGTTTCTTTCGTTATATCGCAGTTTTAGGTCACATGTCCGGAGCAGTTTTATGGTAACAATCTTTCAGCGATTTATGGAGATTCGAAGAAATTTGTGTGACTAGGGAGATCAAGTTGTATACTGGTGAACATGGCTTCCTTAGGAGAAATGGAATCGTAGGGGAACAAACACCACCACTCGTTCAATTTTCATTGATAAAATATATCTAGGATTTGTGTGTTTAGAATTTAGAAAAATTGACAATTTTAAGGAACTTGAGAAAAATTGGAAACTTTCTGAATGGACTGTAACATGTGTATTCTCAGACATAAGATATTTAAGCAAATACAATTTGGATATTCACAATGTTTTATCTTCAAACTCAGAATCGAGTGGTCCCTACACTAATCCTTATCCATAGGAAGCCAAGTTGCAGCCAAGTGTAAACTTTCAGTCCTACTCGATGTGTACTATCTCGCTCTCCAAACTACTCGTATCTATCTCTTATACTCGAAAGGTTAATCAAGTTTCAAACCTTGTTTCAAGGTACTCCACTTCGTCACTGCCACGTCCGTTTCTTGTATCGCACTCCTGGATCATACAGAGCAAACGTTGTATACGTAGAACAATTATCTAGAAAAGTAACCAAAGTTCCTCGAAAGAGGCGAAACTTAGTATAGTTTTGAAGGAATTAGTTGGAAAGTCGCACTGGTTAGGTGGTTGATCCTAGCGTTGATTTCGTTATGACCGGTTGCTCCCGTCGCTTTTCCAGGTGATAGCTGTGATATCAATACTCTTTATTGTGCTTTCGACGATCGCACTAACTCTCAACACCATTCCTAGTATGCAAGTGAATGATGAGAAGGGGAACTTTCAAGACAATCCGCAGCTCGCGATGGTGGAGGCTGTGTGCATCACCTGGTTTACCCTCGAGTACGTGCTTAGGTTCAGTGCGTCGCCGGACAAATGGAAGTTCTTCAAGGGCGGTCTAAACGTGATCGACCTGTTGGCAATACTGCCATACTACGTATCTCTGTTCCTGGTCGAGACGAACAAGAACGCGACCGACCAGTTCCAGGACGTGCGCAGGGTAGTGCAAATCTTTCGTATAATGCGACTGGTGAACATGGCTTCCTTAGGAGAAATGGAATCGTAGGGGAACAAACACCACCACTCGTTCAATTTTCATTGATAAAATATATCTAGGATTTGTGTGTTTAGAATTTAGAAAAATTGACAATTTTAAGGAACTTGAGAAAAATTGGAAACTTTCTGAATGGACTGTAACATGTGTATTCTCAGACATAAGATATTTAAGCAAATACAATTTGGATATTCACAATGTTTTATCTTCAAACTCAGAATCGAGTGGTCCCTACACTAATCCTTATCCATAGGAAGCCAAGTTGCAGCCAAGTGTAAACTTTCAGTCCTACTCGATGTGTACTATCTCGCTCTCCAAACTACTCGTATCTATCTCTTATACTCGAAAGGTTAATCAAGTTTCAAACCTTGTTTCAAGGTACTCCACTTCGTCACTGCCACGTCCGTTTCTTGTATCGCACTCCTGGATCATACAGAGCAAACGTTGTATACGTAGAACAATTATCTAGAAAAGTAACCAAAGTTCCTCGAAAGAGGCGAAACTTAGTATAGTTTTGAAGGAATTAGTTGGAAAGTCGCACTGGTTAGGTGGTTGATCCTAGCGTTGATTTCGTTATGACCGGTTGCTCCCGTCGCTTTTCCAGGTGATAGCTGTGATATCAATACTCTTTATTGTGCTTTCGACGATCGCACTAACTCTCAACACCATTCCTAGTATGCAAGTGAATGATGAGAAGGGGAACTTTCAAGACAATCCGCAGCTCGCGATGGTGGAGGCTGTGTGCATCACCTGGTTTACCCTCGAGTACGTGCTTAGGTTCAGTGCGTCGCCGGACAAATGGAAGTTCTTCAAGGGCGGTCTAAACGTGATCGACCTGTTGGCAATACTGCCATACTACGTATCTCTGTTCCTGGTCGAGACGAACAAGAACGCGACCGACCAGTTCCAGGACGTGCGCAGGGTAGTGCAAATCTTTCGTATAATGCGGATCCTGAGGATCCTGAAGCTGGCCCGCCACTCGACCGGGCTGCAGAGCCTCGGCTTCACATTACGTAATTCGTATAAGGAGCTGGGCCTGCTGATGCTCTTCCTGGCGATGGGCGTCCTCATATTCTCGAGTCTCGCTTACTTCGCTGAAAAGGAGGAGCCCGGGACCAAATTCGTAAGCATTCCTGAAACATTCTGGTGGGCGGGCATCACGATGACCACCGTCGGATACGGCGACATCTACCCCACGACCCCGCTCGGCAAGGTGATCGGCAGTGTGTGTTGTATATGTGGTGTCCTGGTAATCGCGTTGCCCATTCCCATTATCGTTAACAACTTTGCCGAGTTCTACAAGAACCAGATGAGACGCGAGAAAGCCCTTAAGAGGCGGGAGGCCCTAGAGAGGGCAAAACGGGAGGGCAGCATCGTGTCCTTCCATCACATTAATCTGAGGGACGCCTTCGCCAAAAGCATGGATCTCATCGATGTCATCGTCGATACTGGTAAGCGACGGACCACCGGGAGGATTATATCTCTAACGTCTTATTTACTCTAACAAGTATGACCACTTGTTGCATATCAAATTACATTTTCATATTATGTCACCCCTGTGATGTGTCACCTCTTTTCTGCCTGTCGCTTTCGGTCTCAATATTGAAATTGTACCACCAAATCCTTATAGACTTCTTCCGAACGGGTCTTCTTTATGTATCTTCATTTGAAACTTTATACAAACTACTATATAATTAAATAATCACTTTCTACAACAAAGCCTGATGGCTATAGTCATAAAGCACTTGCTTGCACATCTGACGGTCGCAAGTTCAAATCCAACAGAGGGTTAGAATTTTTTTTCTTTTCCATTTTACCGTCAATGATCACCGTATTTGTTATACATTTTCAAGTTACACGTTTGTAATTTTTGCAAACTGAGAATCCAATATGGCGACTGAATTTTGTATCGCGACTATTAAAGGGGTTGCACATTTTCATCAAACCTCAGGTTTCAAATTGATGATAACTGAGAGACTTTCTATGCTTAAAAATCAGCCATTTGATATGCAACAAAATTGATATATTACATACGTATTAATGTCTACGAAGAAATTGTGACACGTGCTTGCAGTTAGACCTTACTGTTTGATTCGTTTGATCTTCAAGCTTCTTAGAATTTTATGTTGCCACGCAAACTATACCCTCCTAACTGGACCATTTCAATGAAGTATCGGAACGATAAATAAATTTTAACGATCAGGCAAAATTGAATTTTCATTCCAGTTAGAGGGTAGTTGTATTTAACACGTTCGTGCTCGGTGTAGTAAATTTACCGTAACCCATGTGTAATCATGTTATCAGGAAAATACACAAAATTTATCAGATAAATATCGTGTACCTTAAAACAGATTTGATATCGCTTTTATGTACAAAATATAATAGTTAATGGAGTACTTACAAACGGAGTTGTTATACTAACACCGTGCTCGAACGTGTTAAACATGGTACCAACATATTATAACACTGTTCAACATGATCAGATTAACCCAACAACAATTTGTCTCGTAACGGCAATTTTATAGCTCATAACAAGAGAAAAATTGCTTTATCGAATATCAAGTTGAACAGTGTGATTCATTAACATCTCCTTTAATTATTAACATTCGATCGCGCTCGTAATTACAGCTTAATCATAACGAATAGTTAACAATTTATCAACCCTGACGCAAGAACGATAAATTTATCAGTTCTGGCGCAGGAGCAAGGTAATACGCAACAACACATTGAAACACTGTTTCTCACTTTTTATTAACTGTCTCATCAACATATAACCGGATCATGTTCATAAGCGCATGGGAACCTATCGACTTTTCGAAACGCGACACAGCACTGTATTATCATTATCGTATTTCATCCGATTTACGTTCATAGATAGTCTTTTTATTTTTTTTCTTCATGCGAGCTTCAAATGAATGCACTAATCCTGCGTCAAGGTTGATGAATTGATGCCACGGTGGGCATCAGGGCGATCTGTCGATGCGACATGATGCTCTGTATTCCAAAGGGATCAGGATACGACCTGACATGCTGCTTCAAACCCAGTTCAAAATTAAACGCAGATAACCCAATCTTGACACGTAGAATTGACATGACAGCCAAACGTAACAAGACTAAAATTGTTCATTTCCATTGCACTTGCAATTAGGATTATAACTAAGGTTTCATTTCCATCACGTTCATTTAAAAAATTTATATTAGCATATGTAGATAGTTTGAAATGATACATATGAGGTACTAGGTCGAAGTTTTAAAGTAATCATTTTTGGAAGTATCAAGAGTGACGACGGTTTACGTTCGTTGCGGACGACACGGATGTATCGATGATATACGAATATGTCTGCGATATCACGTGACATGCGGTACTTATACATACGTTGTGCAATACTGTGAAATATCGTGCAGTATAGACGACATGCGTACGGTGTAATGTACATATGATATACGATCGAAACATGATCTTGTAATATACACATATGTGAACGATATGTAACATACTCGATATACTTGCACTTTGCATGCGTTATGTATACGATATACATATGCGTGATTTCTAACGACATGCATGCATGTACATACATGTATGTAATATACATACGTGATATCGAAAGACACGCGATACTTATTTTGAGTATGACATCATGCGACACATATGTATACGCAATATCCGTGAGTGCGTATCAAATGTTATCCCCGCGATATGTATTCGATATGTTTACGGTTCAGCACCCGTGCATTAGAATATTAATTTTTATTTGCCCGAATCATCCGCAACGACGTTAAAGCGGCATGTCACGACTAGACCGATTCATCATGGTGGATACAAGGGTACTCGGACTGTCCCGATGCCCACCGTCGGCATAATCAAAAAGGCATAAAAAACACAATGGATACCGAGCCTGTTTTCAGGTCACGATATGTCCGGCGTGGATGGTAACAGCAAGGAGGGGGAATCCGTGTACGGACGCAGCCCTGCCCAGACCAGGTCAGGCTGTTATCCTAACTCTAACTATTACGGTCCCTCGTGGCGTCGTTGCGGTGCCTCATTTTCCTGCTGCTTCCTCAGTCTACCTAACGATCGACCAACCACGCCGGACAGACCGAAATTTAACTTTCAAACTAATGATCTCTCACCGTACCCGGAGCTACTTCACGGCACACTTTGCCTTCAAGATTAAATAATACCGATTTCATGTCAAGGCCGACTGCGACTAATTCGCAAAACACCTATATCTAGCTCACGATTACGTCCGACGTGGATGGTAACGAGCTATCTTATTAATACGTATACATATTATTGCTTCTGCCACTTTCTCGATACAGCTAAGAAACCAGCCTACCACGCCGGACCGATTCAGGACTCCGCATCATTAAAAGGTTAACCAATTAACGTAATTACACCGAACACACTTTGACACGATCATTTACATACCTGCGCCACGATTGATAAATTTATCGTAACGTTGCACCGAATGGGCATTGAGCGTCCTCCCAGATCGTCAGACGTCCGGCGTGGATGCTAAGCATTTTTTTTTAAGATACACTTTTATGTGTCAGTATTTATTTACATACTCTGTTTACTTTGAACATGGTTCAATATTGTTATGTTGGGTACGATTATTCGATACGAAATGTTAATTTATTGTTTTGGATAAAAATGTAGTTTCTTCTACTTTTTATTTTACTAATGAGTATTTTACTTCCAGAAAGTGATTGAATTATTTGTATACATAGAGTCACATTGGGTCGGTACATCCAGTCAGGGATAGAAAATGTGAGTTCACACTTCTATCATTTTTCGCTCACAAGTGAGTGCATCTCAAAGAAAATCACATCGAGTCACGTTTCTAAGTTTCTTGAAATTTAAGTCTGCACCTGGACAGGATGTACCAAACCCAAATCACAGGACTCATGAATCCCACAAGTAAACAGTTCACTTGATTTCGAGACACTAAAGTAGAAGTTTGATAAAAGATAGAAAGAGCTGATTAGTATATTATAATTTGCCAGTTAGTCCCGCTTCGTTGAGTTCACCTAACGACCAGCCTACCACGCCGGACCAGGTCGACGATTCCCATTTATTCGTACGTACGTTTTACCAAGCTACGAAAAGTTGCTCATTCGAAAGCGCTGCATGCAGTGTCCTCGATTTGGAGTTGATCGTCGAAATAACGGGACCTGGAGCGAATCTTCCACGATCCTTGCGTCATGGTTGATAAACGAGTGGCATTATAAAAGACAGAACGGACGCGGAACCTGTTTCCAGGTCACAATATGTCCGGCGTGGATGGTAACAGCACCGAGGGAGAATCCGCTTGCGGACGTGGTCCTGCCCAAACCGGGCCAGGCTGTTATCGTAACTATGAGCATTACAGTCTCTCACGACATCGTCGCAGTACCTCGTCCTGCTTCCCAAATTTGCCTAACGATCTACCCACTACACCGGACAGTCCCAATCGTCGACTATTGGACTTCGCTCAAAGCGTGCCTGGAACACAGAACGATGAATATTTCCAAGACGATGTACCGGCCCAGCACGTGAACCAAGGCAATACCACACCTAGCGTAAGTTCCGTCGCGAGATTTGCATATCGATTTAATATATATATTATGTATATATGTATGATTTTTTCGATGTGTTCGTTTTTGTGTGCGCGCCTGGAGACTAGGCATGCGCGGGCGTACCATGAGCCGTTCACCAGATCGGGTTCGATTTTTTGCTGGTTTTGTTCTCAATTTCGTTTAACTTCCTTTCTTTCTTCCGGTCTTTCTTGAGAGAGCTTTTTGTCTTCGGATAATGGAGCTGGCTGGGCTGCTTCTGAATTCTGGCTGTGGGTGATACGTGCTACGACCGCCAACTTGGCGACAATTTTAGTTTTAGTTAAAGTGTTTGATATTTGATATTTATGTGGTCTTAAAGTTTTATGGTTCCTCAGTTTCTGAATTTATAAATTTCCATGCTTTTAAATATTTTAGTTTGAAAATCCAAGTACTAAATCCTAAGAATATCTGAATATCTGAGATTTGAAAATTTAGTAATTCTTACGTATATAAAAATCATCCACAGACGGGGTCAGAACTCCACAAAATCCGCCAAAAGTTAACAAATGAAGTTGCATTTTCTATGATAACAAATTTTAATTTTACAAGTAAAAGAATTCTTACTAAAAAGGCTAACATATTGTAAAATATTCTTCGTGTACTATTTCATAAATTATGTTTCCCGCGAATTATAAAGTTATGTAAATATTCGGTCAAGTTCTCTGAACTATATAGCATAATTATAAGACCCAGCAAAATTTTTTTCGGTTAATTTTAATTAGAAGTTGAATTGTAATCGTGAAAGAAGGAAATACACGTCCAGTATTACCACGAAACCCGGTAAAAACAATTCGAGCCCATCTGGAAAGTGAAAATTGTTGATAAATTTTCTAGTATCCGCACATGGCTACTAGAGGCACAAATACTAGAACGTCAGTGCGGTCACATTGGATGCAAACTAGTAGTAACGTCCGATTTTGGTCAGACCGTGGAATGATGTGTGCCCTATACTTTTCAATTTACACTTTTATTTGCTGAATAATGTTATTGATCCATGTTTCAGTTACCAAATCTATTCATCTTTTGATATTATTTCATATTTAAACAAATCAATGCTATTTTGCATTGCAAAAAGATATGTACATCACGTTTATCGTAACGATCTTTCAAACTGAAAATCTAGAAAATAAGTTGGTGTATAAAACGATATAATTTTTGGCAACAATTTATTGTGCAATCACTAATAAATTATTGAAACTTTTAGAAAAATATTTGTTTATTTATTGTAATTTTGGAACTTGTATTTTTTATAGAAATTTGTTAATTTAGTAATTAGTAATTAATAGTTAGTATTAATTGAGAATTACTAGGTGTAGGAACGCGTGAGAATTCGACGCGTGGAAATCCAACGCATGGGAAATCAACGCGTGAGAATTCAATGCGTGGGAATTTAACGCATAGGGATTTAACGCATAGAAATTCCATGCATGGGAATTCAACGCGTGGAAATTCAACGTGTGGGAATTCAACGCATAAGAATTCCATGCATGGGAATTCAACGCGTGAGAATTCAACGCGCGGAAATTCAACATGTGGGAATTCAACGCGTGAGAATTCAGTGCGTGGGAATTCAACGCATGGGAATACAATGCGTCAAAATTCCACGCATAGGAATTCAACGCGTCAAAATTCAATGCGTGGAAATTCAACGCGTGGGAATTCAACGCGTGAGAATTCAATGCGTGGAAATTCAACGCGTGGAAATTCAATGCGTGAGAATTCAATGCGTGGGAATTCAACGCATAGGAATTCAACGCATGGGAATTCAACATGTGGGAATTCAACGCGTGAGAATTCAATGCGTGGAAATTCAACGCGTGGAAATTCAAT